AATTAAGTGAGAATTAATTAAAAGTAAAAAGATAAATTTTTATTTAAAAAAATAATTTTTAAAAACAATTTAAATCGCTTCCTTCATTATAAAACTTTAGTTATTCTGAAATTTTACTTTGTTTTAAATTTTTTTTTTAAAATTACAACACATCTTTATGTAATTTGTTTTTTCAGATTATACTCTTATGTGTAGTTTTTAATTAAAATTAGTTTAATTGGACCATATTAATGTTGTTTTTAGTTGAGCATTATGTTTTATAGGAATATAAATGAAGTAGTTGAAAATATTATAGAAATTTGTAAAAATAAATGACGGTAATTTAATTCAAATAGGCATATTTATGAATTTGTGTATTAAAAAGTTTAAAGAATTAAACTTTTGGAATGGAGAGAGTATTGATAAATTTAATATTATAAATAAATAAATATTTTTTTTTTGAAGAATATAAGTTTGTTGAAAGGGTCTAATATAAAGACAGGGATAATAATTTTTATTATTTAATAAAAAGTAAATTATAAGTATAGATATTTTGAATTTACACTAACAAACAATTTTGTTCCAATGCAATTAATATATATATATATATATATATATATATATATATAATCAACATATTAAATATTAACTAAATGTTAGAGCATAGCTTCGATATCTACACTAATGGTTTGGTTCACCTCTATCATTTTTAATTTATAAATTCATTTTAATATTAGTTAAAAGTAATAAAAAAGACAATTCGTATATTATGAATTTTGTTTAAAATATTATGAATGTTACAAAAAAGAAAGAAAAAAAAGGAGTTGTAGTAAAATTAATATACATGTGAAATTATAATTAGAGAAAATGTATAGATCCCATCTGATTTGTAATACTGGTAACGCAGTGAATATCATTTGAATCAACAACAAAATTAGATTCATGAACTGAAACTAGTGGCTTTCCATCAAATAATCAAAAAATTAACAATTGACAAAAGATTGGGTCGTTAAGTTTCATCTTCAGAGTCTTTGGAAATTGGATCCATATGAATGGGCCTGAGCTCAATGGTTAGATCTGGGCTCAATATTTTTGTTATTCTAGAATCTAAATGAGTATCTAATATTTTTCGTTGTTGTATAATCGAACTTAATATATTTTTTTTTGTTGTTCTTTGTTGTGCAACTAAAACATAATATTCAGTTATGCTGGTTTCACTCTTTTTGGGGGGTCCATGTTTTGCTGGTACTAACTTTCAGCCCAAAAAGATAATTCATCCCGGATCTAACCATTGAGCTTGGGCCCATTGATATCGGTCCAACTTCCAAAGACTGAAGATGAAACTTGACAAAAGACAAAAGTGTAGAAAAACAAAGAATGAAAAATAATACAGAGAGAATGATGGGATGGAGAGGAATGAAGTAAAAAAAATTATTAGGATTGGAAAGGAGGCCTTAAATTATTCATTCGGATCCTATTTTATGTAAAGTTTGAGTCTTTTCGTTCCCCTTTTTATTTTTGTCTTCTTAATATATCTGAATAATTATAAAAATATTTTATTTTATTTCTTGTTTCAAGAATTGTTGGTAAAAACAACATTTGGGCATGACTTTATGATACATTTTCAATTTTTATATCTATTTTACTTTTATCTTTATTTCATCATACTAATTATTATCCTTTTATCACATACTAACAAGGTTCTTTTTTAGAACATTATTGATAAATTAGTGAAAAGACTTAATTCATCGTTATTATCTTGAAAAGTTAAAGAACACTATATTGAAAATTAGTTCAAACTATGTTTATGAATGAAGAGAAAATATCACAATACCAATCATACAATTTAATATCGTATAGAAAAGTTCACGGACTTGTACTCAAATTTAAGATTTAGGGCTTAAACCTAACTTATTTTATAAGCATCTTAGGTCAAGATTTTTATTTAAATTTATTTAGTTAAAAAAATTAATTTTAAATTATTTAAAAGTTTATTAAACATAATAAATAAGTTTATTTAAATAAAATAAAAATAATAATAATAAGGAATTAAAATCACACATTTATTAGTCTTTATAAATATTTAACATGTTGACATATATACAAAATAAAACTTGTAAGTTTATTTAATTATAAATTTATGTAACATTTAGAGATTTTACTACAAAATATATTTTAAATAAGTTATATTAGATCTTAAAATATATCATGTTTATCATATTAGATCTTAAAAATAAGTTTATATTATATAAAAAATTATATTCAAATTTTACAAAACATAGTATATTTATTTTTACTTTTATATTAGTTATTAATTATTATAAAATAAACTTTTAAATAAATTTATAGACTATATTAAACTTTAATGTATCGTGTCTTTGAAAAAGACATATAATAAATAAATAAATCATGTCATGTATATTCAACCAAATTTATTCAACTTTTACATATTTTACTTAGTAGTTAAGATGAGATAGTAATAAATGATTTACAAAGTTTAGGAAACAAATAAAGTATCGAATGAACTTTTTCTATTGAAGAAAAAAAGTTGACCATGTCAAATGTTACGAATATACTATTATTTCTTTAAACTCTAATTTTAAAGGGCTAAGGCTATCTAATGGAGATTTCTATTGTTGAAATTAATTGTTTTGACATGGTCTGCAGCAAACATCACATAACTTAATCGCAAATTAATCGATTCAATCAATATTTTTTCCTTTATTGATTCAACCAATGTAGTAAGATTATTTCAATGCCTTTCCTTAGATACCAATATCGTGTTTCCTTCGATCTCTCACACACTTATCATTATTTCGTTGGTTTAAGTTTTTGGGCTGGGCCAGAGTACTTGTTAAACCATATTTGTATGTAAAGTATTTTATGGATAAGAAATGGAGTTAGTGTGATGGTCAAAATATTTTAGTGATAGGGTAGGCTAAGCAATGGTAATGAAATAACGTTGAATCTAGGTTCTTATATGTTTTTAAAAAGAAAAAAAAAATTATAAATGTAGTAATTTTCTTTTATCGTCAAATAAAAAAATAATAAGATGAAATTAGGCAGTGAGACAAAAAACAATTTGCGGAAGAAAAAAAAGTCAAAATAGGATTTAGAAAAATAATAATAAAAATAAAGAATGTAAATAAAATTATATTTATCTCGTGTGAATATAGGTGTGTTGGATTATAATTGATAAAATGAAGCTTGGTTAACTTAACTACGTAAACTTAATTTCAGTCGAAAGAAGTTTAGTGTAAATTGAATTATTTTTGGATATTTTTATTCTAAAATCACAATGAAAATTGTTTATGTTATGGTCAATGATGGGTGGACTAGGGTTTCTTCCTAAATCAAACCTCCGAACCAAAGCATTCAAAAGTGTAATGTATAACCTGTTTGCTTAGCTCTAGGGTTTTGGGTCTTATACCTTTTTGTTTTTGGGCCTCATGGGCTATGTGAACGTAGAGATTTCCATAACCGTTAATATTTGAGAGATATTTCATAATTAAAGGTAAGATCTTATCCTTAACTTTGGTCTAGCATATATATGAGGAGGGTAGGATCGGGATCTGGCCGAGACAACGTTCCAACGAGGAGGGCCGGAACGGATTCTGGCTGATTGGCCCCCTGTAGAGAGACATGGTCGGATTCTGACCGATTGGCCTCCTGCAGAGAGACAAGGTTGGATTCTGACCGAGTGGCTCCTTACATAGGGGTCATATCGGCTTATAACTGAGTGTCCCCTGTACAGGGGTCAGATCGATTTTTTACCGAGTGTCCCTTGTATAGAGGCCATATCGGCTTATAGCCGGGACGGTACACTGTTCCGGCCAAGGGGGCGTCTAGGGGTCTTCTCCTAGGTCAACCTTCCCAAGGCAGAACATTCAAGAGTGTAATGTGTAATCTGTCCGCTTAGTTATAGAGTTTTAGGTCTTAGACTTTCTTGCTCATGGGCCTCATGGACCCCGTGAGCGCAGAGATCTTCATAACCGTTAATATTTGGAAAATATTTTGTCATTAAAGATGGGATTTTATCCCTGATACCGGATCAGTGTCTATGTGAGAGGGTCAAATCGGAATTTGGACGAGTTACCCCTATAGAGCAGACAGGTCAGATTCTGACCGAGTACACCCATGTAGAGGGGTCAGATCGGATTCTGACCAGGATGGTACAGTTTAGATAATATTGAGTTTCATATATATATATATATATAATTATTAAAATGAGTATGAATTTTATATAGTAATATTAGTATTATTTATTTTTGTTACTTTTTAAAGTAAATTTAGATTGTTATATTATTATTATTTATATTATAATATTGATGTTATTGGCCACGTTTTTTTTATAAAAAATTTGGTTATTCAAAAAAATGCAAATAAATATATAATTAAGGGTTTATTACTAAATTAGTTATGAGACAAGTACAAAATTTATTAAGTACTGACGTTGATTGTGCATAACTTAAACTTTTTCATGATTACAAATTAGGGGTGATAATACGAGTTAACCTCTCAATTCGTAAAAAAATAATGGAGTGAAATAAACATTTTAACTTATAAACTTATCAATTTATTAGACTAATAATATGTTTATAAATCTGTTACCATTACTTTAAATATAAATCCATTCTTTTCAAAACATTAAAATATAAAGCAAATTTTTGTGTCTTCTTTGTTGAATATGATTTTACAAATTTTTAACCACAAACCAAACACACATCATAATAGAGATAAGATGAAATGGGTTGACTTATTTAATTTTCGGTCTATTTGTTTTTAAATATTATTTTGAATTTATTTTGTGTACTAAAATTTTAAAATTCAATCTATTTTTTTTATTCTTATCTAATGTTCTTGTGTACCACCAAAGAAATTATACACAGAAAATGAAAACCAAGTCCTAACATAATATATGCTAAATTAAAAAAAAAAAAAAATAGTGTGAATAGGAAGAATAAAAAAGAAAAAAGGAGTATATAAAGAGGGGAATGTGGAGAGACTTTAGTAACGTAACGGGGATATGCTCAATTCGAGGGTGTGGAGGGATCGCAGATCAGATCTGAATCTCGTATTCGCAAAACCCTCTTCTCTTTTCTTCTTCTTCTTCTTACACTTGTCTCATCTCACTCACTCCAAACCCTAACCCTAACCATGTTGACCAAGTTCGAGACCAAGAGCAACCGAGTGAAGGGCCTGAGCTTCCACCCGAAGCGCCCATGGATCCTCGCCAGCCTCCACAGCGGCGTCATCCAGCTCTGGGATTACCGCATGGGAACCCTCATCGACAAGTTCGACGAGCACGACGGCCCCGTCCGCGGCGTCCATTTCCACCACTCCCAGCCTCTCTTCGTCTCCGGAGGTAAATACTGCCTATCTCCTAGATCTGCAATGCGTTTCAGATCAGATCCCTAACCCTAACCCTAACCCTGATTACAGGTGACGACTACAAGATCAAGGTGTGGAACTACAAGCTCCACAGGTGCCTCTTCACGCTCCTCGGACACCTCGACTACATCCGCACCGTCCAGTTCCACCACGAGAATCCATGGATTGTCAGCGCCAGCGACGACCAAACCATTCGCATCTGGAACTGGCAATCGCGGACTTGTATTTCCGTTTTGACTGGCCACAACCACTACGTCATGTGCGCCCTCTTCCACCCCAGGGAGGATCTCGTCGTCTCTGCGTCGCTTGATCAGACTGTGCGCGTTTGGGACATCAGTTCCCTCAAGAGGAAGAGCGCCTCGCCCGCCGATGATATCCTCAGACTCAGCCAGATGAATACCGATCTCTTCGGCGGCGTTGATGCCGTTGTTAAGTATGTTTTGGAGGGCCATGATCGAGGTGTCAATTGGGCCTCCTTCCACCCCTCGCTGCCTCTCATCGTGTCTGCTGCCGATGATCGACAAGTCAAACTTTGGAGGATGAATGGTAAATTTCGCATATTTCCTTGCCTTTTCATTCTCATTTTTAGGTAATGTTTTTTTTTTTTTTTTTTTTTTTTTGATATCCTCAGACTCAGCCAGATGAATACCGATCTCTTCGGCGGCGTTGATGCCGTTGTTAAGTATGTTTTGGAGGGCCATGATCGAGGTGTCAATTGGGCCTCCTTCCACCCCTCGCTGCCTCTCATCGTGTCTGCTGCCGATGATCGACAAGTCAAACTTTGGAGGATGAATGGTAAATTTCGCATATTTCCTTGCCTTTTCATTCTCATTTTTAGGTAATTTTTTTTTTTTTTTTTTTTTTGTATTGATCATCTTCTGCTTGTCGTGTTAACGCTAGTGCGTGGATGGATGTCTTTACAATTTTGCTTTAATGCCAATTTTTTCTTCTAAACTAGCTTGAACTGTAAATAACCAAACATTATTTTTTTTCCTGGCAAAATCATGTTTGGCATTCACAAATCCTCTATTGGAGTTGATGGGGATGAAAGTTTAAAACTAATGCCCCATTTGGAAGAGCTATGTGATTGTGAACTTGTCTTATGACATAAGTACTTGTGTAAGTGTTTGGAAGAGCATATGAAAATAATTTATGATATGTCCATATGCTGTTTTCAATAAGTTATTCAAAATAGTTTATGGAAACTACTTATATAAAAGCTACTTAACCTTGTTTACCCTTCACTTATAAACACAACACGGATATAAGTACTTTTATGATAAGGTTTTTATTCAGTGAGACATCAATTAATCTGTTTATCCAAGCTGGCCAAAATCTTACCAATATCCAGTTTTTGGACGCAATAAATCTTGTGGGATGTAGTGAAGAATAAAATTGTAGTGTTTGAAGTGGTATTGTTTATGCTGTTAATGATTTGTCTCTATTTTCAGACACAAAGGCTTGGGAAGTGGACACCTTGAGAGGACACATGAATAATGTTTCATGTGTTATGTTCCATGCTAAACAGGATATCATTGTGTCAAATTCTGAAGACAAGAGTATTCGCATATGGGATGCGACAAAGAGAACTGGAATTCAAACATTCCGCCGGGAGCATGACAGGTTTTGGATTCTTGCGGCTCATCCTGAAATGAACCTGCTGGCAGCTGGGCATGACAGTGGCATGATTGTTTTTAAGCTGGAGAGAGAAAGGCCTGCTTTTGTGGTTAGTGGTGATTCGTTGTTCTACACAAAAGAACGGTTTTTGTGTGTCTATGAATTCTCTACACAAAGAGATGCACAAGTGCTTCCGTTTCGACGGCCAGGCTCTCTAAGCTTGAATCAAAGTCCAAAGACTCTTTCCTATAGCCCATCTGAAAATGCTTTTCTTCTGTGTTCAGATGTAGATGGTGGATCTTATGAGTTATATTGTATATCAAAGGACAGTTATGGTAGGGGTGATGTGCAAGATGCGAAAAGAGGTCACGGAGCATCAGCAATCTTTGTGGCTCGCAATCGGTTTGCTGTGCTTGAGAAGAGCAACAATCAAGTCCTTATAAAAAATTTGAAGAATGAGATTGTCAAGAAGAGTGTCCTTCCAATTGCCGCAGATGCTATCTTCTATGCAGGAACAGGAAACTTGCTATGTAGGTCAGAGGATAGGGTTGTCATATTTGATCTTCAGCAGAGGATTGTTCTTGGTGAACTTCAGACCCCTTTTATTAAATATGTTGTCTGGTCTGATGACATGGAACATGTTGCTTTGCTCAGCAAACATGCCATTATAATTGCTAGCAAGAAACTTGTGCACCAGTGTACTCTCCATGAGACAATCCGTGTAAAAAGTGGAGCCTGGGATGAAAATGGTGTTTTTATTTATACAACACTAAATCACATCAAATACTGTCTTCCCAATGGAGATAATGGGATAATAAAGACACTGGACATTCCAATTTATATCACAAAGGTCTCTGGAAACACAATCTTCTGCTTGGATAGGGATGGAAAGAACAGAGCAATAATTATTGATGCAACTGAATATATTTTTAAGCTTTCCCTCTTGAAGAAAAGATATGACCATGTTATGAACATGATCAAAAACTCTCAGCTTTGTGGACAGGCTATGATTGCTTATCTACAGCAGAAGGGCTTTCCTGAGGTTGCACTGCATTTTGTCAAAGATGAGAAAATTCGGTTCAATTTGGCTTTAGAGAGTGGGAATATTCAGATTGCAGTTGCATCAGCTACAGCAATTGATGAAAAAGATCACTGGTACCGTTTGGGGGTTGAGGCTCTTCGCCAAGGCAATGCTGGTATTGTAGAGTATGCATACCAGAGGACAAAAAATTTTGAGAGATTGTCTTTCCTTTATCTTGTCACTGGTAACTTGGAGAAACTATCAAAGATGTTGAAAATTGCTGAAGTCAAGAATGATGTGATGGGCCAGTTTCACAATGCTTTGTATATGGGTGATGTTCGAGAACGTGTTAAGATCTTGGAGAATGTGGGCCATTTGCCTCTTGCTTACATCACTGCATCAGTCCATGGGCTACATGATGTTGCAGAGCGGCTTGCAGCTGAACTGGGAGATAATATTCCATCTTTGCCTGAAGGAAAAGTACCTTCTCTCTTGATGCCTCCATCACCTGTCATGTGTGGAAGTGATTGGCCTCTTCTCAGAGTCATGCGAGGCATGTTTGATGGTGTGCTTGACACTACAGGTCGGGGAGTTGCTGATGAAGAAGAGTACGAGGGTGCTGATGCTGATTGGGGTGAGGAGCTTGACATTGTTGATGCAGATGGCTTACAAAATGGAGACGTGGCTGCGATCTTGGAGGATGGAGAAGTGGGTGAAGAAAATGATGAAGAGGGTGGATGGGAGATGGAGGATTTAGGCCTGGCGGAAGCTGAGACTCCAAAAGCTTCAGTCAGTACACAATCTTCAGTTTTTGTGACTCCAACACCTGGCATGCCGGTAAGCCATATATGGACTCAGAAATCATCTCTTGCGGCTGATCATGCAGCTGCTGGAAATTTTGATACTGCAATGAGATTACTGAACCGGCAACTTGGGATAACTAATTTTGCCCCCTTGAGATCCATGTTTCTTGATCTTCACACTGGCAGTCATTCCTATCTGCGTGCATTTTCTTCTGCTCCAGTCATATCACTTGCAGTTGAAAGAGGTTGGACCGAGTCATCTAGTGCAAATGTGAGGGGCCCACCAGCACTTCCTTTCAAATTGTCTCAATTGGATGAAAAGCTTAGAGCTGGTTACAAGTTAACTACTGCTGGGAAATTCACCGAGGCCCTGCGGACATTTGTTAATATTCTTCATACAATTCCGTTGATTGTCGTTGAGTCAAGGAGGGAAGTGGATGATGTTAAGGAACTGGTTATCATTGTCAAAGAATATGTTCTGGGTCTGCAAATGGAGCTACAGAGGAGGGAAGTAAAGGACAATGTAGCACGGCAGCAGGAGCTTGCAGCATATTTCACTCACTGCAACCTTCAGGCACCTCACTTGAGGTTAGCTTTGCAGAATGCAATGACTGTCTGTTTCAAAGCCAAGAACCTTGCCACTGCTGCTAACTTTGCCCGGAGGCTACTTGAGACAAATCCAACGATTGAAAACCAAGCTAAGCAAGCAAGGCAAGTGGTGGCAGCTGCTGAAAGAAACATGACTGATGCGACCCAGTTGAACTATGATTTCCGGAATCCATTTGTAATTTGTGGTGCAACTTATGTGCCGATCTATCGAGGACAGAAGGATGTCTCTTGCCCATACTGTTCTTCACGCTTTGTGCCAAGCCAGAAGGGACAGCTATGTAATGTTTGTGAACTCGCAGTGATTGGGGCAGATGCTTCTGGACTGCTTTGTTCACCTTCCCAGATACGCTGATTGAGCTACTGGATCGGGTCCAATGTTAAATTTTGTTTTGGGTCAATTTTCAGCACTAGATGAATCTTTATTAATTAGTCAATATGTTGATGGTACTGTGATAGAAGTGAGAGTTAGTCACGAGGGATTACTTTTTCGCCCTTTTGCTTGCCCTTCTCTTTTGTTGAAAATGATTTTCAATGTAATAAATCCATTTCGTTCCCGAGGGGTGTTAGTTTTCATACACAAGAAAGTGAAAGGTTGTACTCAGATCAAACGATGGTTATAGGCTGTGCAACAGTTAAATTTGCGCAGTTTTATTTGGCAAAGTACATATGATTATGTCTGTGTTTAGTTGGGGTTCAGTCCCTTGGTTACAAAAAATGTTTCTGTAGTTAAGCGGCATTTTGATTGTTTATTTGATTCGGTCCCTGCAATTTACATGCAGATTGATTAGATTCCGGCTGCTTTCAATGACCCTTGAGAATTTTTATCATAAACATTGCATTAGGAATGCTATTATCTCTTATTATTATTATTATTATTATTATTTTAATACCTCATTTTAATCAGTGCTTCTAAAGCGTGTCTTTAGCATTTCTTAATTTTGTATTAATAAGAAATCTTCCCCTACGCAAACATGATAAGGCTGGTCGTAGATTTTCAGAATCAGGATTAGATTTCTTTAACGTTCGTCACTAACACGACGGACTGCGCTGAGAGAAATCCAAATTCCTTTGTGGGAACATTTTTCTTCTCGAGTTAGGGACTACACTTTTGGGATCTATAATAAACATAGATGTTTTGATGAGTTCTGCTTCTGCCCAACGAATCAATCGTTAAACAAATTTCAATGGACAAAGAAACTGATTAAAGTAATTCACGTCATAAGAATATCGTTAGATGAGATGAGACTTCCTGCCTATTTTCTCTTACCAAACTGAATAGTACGAAGGAAATAAAACTAAGAAAATGAATTTTTAAAACAAATAAATCAGCCTAATGTTATTGAATGTACGCAAATGTACATTTTGGAAACCAGCTAGTTGAACAAAAGAAAGAATAAGAGACTCTAAGGAATCAAGTTCTTCGTAGAGAATGCAAGAAATTAAAATCAAATCTTACGTTCACTTAAATGGACAAATTTTAATAGCAATATAAGAGTTATACAAAGACAATTTTCAGCGAGGAAAAATATAAAACTACACTTATTTCAAATAAATGATTAACAGAGTGATAAACTGATAAAGGTAGATTTCTCTTCCCACTCTAATTTCATCTGGCATAAATGTAAATAGAATGTAATGTAATTCTTAAGATCATGCACAATCAGATTTGTTAATAAGCAACAAAATAATAACTTTTGCATACTTCAAGAGTGAGTTCCACCTGGATATCATGCTCACAGTTTCCCAGTCGGTTTATAGTTATGTATGATCACACTAAAGCTAATCTAACTATAAGCAAGATGTTAAATTGCCTTCGCGGTGGTGCTTTTGTTATGATCTTTGATATTACGGAAAATTGTAAATAAATGTGGTTGATGCAGCCGTGAAGTGGTTATGAAGTATTTGAATACCTTCATATTGTGGCTGCAATTGCTGTTGTGTATATTTTTTCTAAAACCTTGACTATAAGTACTAACTACTAACATTATTCCTAAAATTTCTATTCCGGTTATGTTGAAATTAGTAACCCTTGGTATCTTATTCTTACAGGACTCGATCATATTTAAGTTAGTATTTTCAACTACTCCCAAATTAAGTGATATTTTGCAGCTTTTGGATTTGGACCACTTGAACCAGAACTAATGTTCACTAATTCTTGCAAATAATTAGAAATACAGTGCTTTAAGATCAACAGCTCTAGTAGATTTAAATACAGTACATAGTGATATCTCATCCCAGATCAGACTTATTTTGGCAGCTCATTTACTTCCATATACAACAAATTCACAATGATCATCTTTTCAAGAGCCAAAACCATTTCCTAAGAGATATTATTTCAATCAATGGACAAATAGAAATGTCGGGCTACAGGTTCAGGCTCCATTTATCAAACCAGCTAGCTTTACCCATTGCGGCAATATCATCCCTGATGTCTTCATTTAATTTGAAAGCTATTTTGATTAGGTGTATCCAAAATTAAAGAGGGCGCGGGCGATCATGTTTAACATCATAATTTTCAATTGAATTTATAAGAATCATGAGTTACATTAGTGTGTATTGCGTATTGCTAGATACATTCTTCTATAATAATTAATATTCTTAGCTACATTGGTTTAGATTGAGGCAAAATTGTGGGTAGCAAGTAACAACTATACTTAAGAGCTTCCAACCTTTGCACCTGATGATAACCTTACCAGACCCTCTCGTAAACCAGGAGAAAGTGCAGGACAAGAAGTCAAAACATCAAGCGACCTTATCACACCTTTGCGAACAAGCAACTGAAAAGCTGAGGCCACACCCTTAACTATCATCCCCTTACGTTCCACATCATAATTATCCACAAGATGCAACAAGAACTCAAGAAGACCACGAGTAATCTCAATGTACTGGGGAATAGAATGCACCATGAGCAGAACCGCAGGCTCAATGTTCATGATATTGTCCACACTTTCATCAAAAAAGAGCCAGTCATAAAACAACGCAAGTTTCACATTCGCCACAACATGGCTCCTCCTACAGCAAGTCAAAAGCCAACCAATGAGAGCCCACCTAGGAACAATATCAGACTGAATAATCTCATTTGTAGGGTGGTGCGCACAGCATATAAACCTAACAATATCAACAATAACAAACTCTCTATCAGGCTCACTCAAAAACTTCCTAGCAAACCATATCTGGTGCCTCCTCTGATGCCCCAACTTAACATTGGTAAGCAAAAACCTCAATTGGGTCTCCATCTCAGGACTAATCCTAAGCAAAGAGTATCTACTAGAAGTCCTGGTGCAGAAAATCTGAGAAACATCCTTAAACTTAAACCCCCCAGAATTAAACACACACGGATTAAACACAATGTCGTTCAATACAGCCCTAATTTCAGGAACATGAAGCAAATCCTGTAACAACCGGATAAAATCCCTCCCAATTTTTAAACACACATGAAACGCTTCCCTGATTACCTTCACACAAAAATGAATCTCTAACCGCTTCAAAGTCTCCAACTTTTCAACCCTAGAGTGATCAGACAAAACCCTAAGAAACGTGTAAACCGCAAAAGACAAAACTTGCGGCGATTCTTCCAACAAGCAATCAAATTGGTCCAGAAAGAGGGCGACCAACTTGGAGCAGAGCCACAGGTTGCCGTCGCCGAAATCGGCGGCGGCGATTTGGCGCAAGAGGGAGACCAAAACGGCGTCGTAGCCGATACCCAGAACGCGAACGATTTCGTGGGTGAGGTAGAGAAGGTGCGTTTTGACGGGGGCGAGGAGTGTGGGGTAGAGGTGGTGGACGACGTCGTGGAGGAGGGTGCAGAAGGTGGCGTAGCCGTCGGTGACGGTGGCGTGCAAGTGTTTGATGTGGGTTTTGGCGATGTGGGGTTCCGTTAAGAGGGCGTGGAGGATTGCGGCGTTGAAGAGGGCGTATTGGTGAGGGGTTGGAATGGTTAGGGAGAAAGGTGGTCTGAGAGAGGGTTTCAGAGACTCGAAGGCTTTCCTCAGTGATGCTTCCAACTCCTTTTCGGCTTCGAAAGGTGGTGTCAGAGTCAGCCTCAACGCCATCCAACTCTAACTCACTACAACCCTCACCCTTCCATGCTTTCTTATTCTAAAAGCTTCACTGTTAGCTTACACGTATATATTAGGGATGACGACGGGCGGGTCGGGTACGAGTTTCATGATACTCATTCCCGTCCTTGCGAGTTAAACTCATTTTTGTTCTCGTACTAGTTGGGTATGTGATTTTCATCTCCATTCCCATTTTCGTCAGGTATCGGATATATTCGTACCCTTACTTGTACCTGTTAATTTTTTTATTTTTTATTTTATATAAAAAAAATATGATATTTTTAAATTATTTTTTTATTATATTATAATTATAATTAAGTTATTTCTCTATTTCATGTTATATATAATAAATAATCACATATAAAAAAATATTAAAATTCTTTAATATAATTAAATTGAAAGTGAGTATTAAATTAAAAATGGAAACGGGGACGGGTATGTGTACGGGTACGGGGCAGGTAAATTCATACCAGGTTTAATATATCGGGTTTTATCTGTACCTGTACCCGTACCCAGTCAAACCGGATATTTCTCGTCAAAGTTGGTACGAGTTTGTGTAATGCTGTTGGTAGATTGGAACGGGGCGTTCCAAAGTTGGAATGGGCCGTTCCAAACTACTAGAAGAAGGGTGATTTAGTAGTCTAGAACGGGCAGTTCTGGATGGAGAACGGACCGTTCTGGAGGGAGTACGGGCCGTTTCGATTTCGAAACGGGCCGTTCTGGCCACTCCTGGACCTCTATAAATAGGCGTTGAGGGGAGGAGAAAATGGAAATTTAGAGAGAAGTTTTAGAGAAGTTTTAGAGAGGAAGACTCTGGGCTAGGAAGCTTGCTTTTGGCAGATGGAGGTTCTCGAGTTGAGCTTCGGAAGGAAATTCCACTTCTTCTCAGCTCTTGGCAATGCTGAGCCAATCTTCAGGTTAGGGAAGCTTCATGTATTATTTCATTGAAAATGGTTAAGTTGTTGAGTGCAGATTGAGCTAAAAAGTTGGGTTTTGTTGTTTGAAAGAAAAGAGATGATTTATTTAAATTAATGGTTGATTTGTAATTTGTGTCGAATATGTTGTATATTGTTGAAGTTATTTATAAGGTTGTAAAAGTTGTTAAGTTGCCTGATGAAAATGAGTTGAGTAGTTGTTGGCTTAAGTTGTTCATATGTTGTGTGTTGATAATATGTGATATATTGTGAAAGTTGTTATAAGTTGTGTATTTGGTGAAACTTAGTTATTTTTATGTTGTTTATTGCTGAATTATTAATAAGTTGAGATGTATAAGTTGAAGTAGTTATTGTTGTAAAAGTTGTTTAAAGTGTATGAGTTGTCTATTGTTATAAGATGCTTATTGTTGTATTGCTGTAAGGTACCTATTATTGCTGTAAGATGTCTATAGTTGTATTGTTGTAAGTTGTGTATAGTTTGTTAAGATGCTTATTGCTGTAAAGTTGTTAAGATGTCTATTGTTGTAAAATTGCTATGATGCCTATAGTTGTAAAGTTGTCGAGTTGTTTATTGTCGTAAAATTGTAAAGCTGCCTATTGTCATAAAGTTGGAAAGCTGGGGACATATGGTGAAGATATATGTCCTATGTTGAGATACATAGTACTAAGGTGATAAGTTGAAAGTTGTTTTAAAGTTGAATCCCTTAGTACTGTGTGGGTGACATGGAAGTAGTCAATCCATGTCATGGTTGAATGACTAATTTTGAGTAAGGTATCTAGTTAGAGATGTAGTCTTTGACTAGGTACTGGAGGGTGCATGGTACTTGGAGGACAGTGGGTGGGCTAACTCCATATGTGGATTGGTGATGCTAGCCAAGGCCGTGGTAGACTCATACCCAAACCCTTCTGTCCTGATAGTAGTACTGGACCTCCGAGTCTAAGTGGCACACCTGAGCAATCAACTATTGTTGTCTATACCTGGTTCTCTTCGGAGTTCCTAACGCTGTTCTATACCTGACCTGGTAGAGATAGGTCAAACGCTGGATTCGATAGGGTTTATGCCACCTAGACTGCTCAACTTCAGTTGTTGGAGATCTTTGAGTTGAAATGCGTGACGACACATAAGTTGTTGATGAGTTGATTTATTGTTGATATGAGTTGTATATATTTGTTGTTGTGTTGTTAAACTGTGATTGTGTTCTGTTGAATTGTTGATCACTAGGACTAGAGGAAAAGTTTTCGAAGTTGCTCATCCCATTGTGCGGATTGAGATAGTTGTGGTACTCTGAGAGCCCAATTTGTTTAAAAACCCTCCTTAGAAAGTTGTTCCTTGGAGTGGATAATGTGTTATTCTCCTCTAGGCTTGGTTGGTCCCGTGTGTGGGCAAGGTCGAGGCACACGTGTATGAAGCGACCACGGTATAGGGGACAGGTCGAGCTATACCGATTATAAGCGGCCAATTTGAATAAAGTGTGATATGTTGAAAATTGTTATTGTTATTAGATGATATTGTGTATCTATTGTTGTAGGTGTTATGTTGCTTTATGTTGCAAGTTGAAAGTAGAATTCTATTGTTGTTTATTATTATGTTGAGACTATTTTTTTTATGTTTATTGTTGTGAGCTTACCCTAGCGTGTTTTTCCTATGTGGTTGGGACTGCGATGACCATACCTTGGTATGCGAGCAGATCGAGATAGGTGTTCTGCTGGATTGGGTGAGCTTCGAGACTCAAGAGGAGCGCTAACGTTGTAGTTAGTTGATTGATAGTTTTTGACTACCTAATTGTTATATAGGGTATTATTTTCCATACTTTCAATTTTATATATATATATATATAATGATTTAGTGGTGAGATGTAATTTTTTTTATATACTTATTTTTGAACGCTATAAACAGTGTGAGACCTGGCGGGTCGTTACAATTCGAGTATTACCTGCGAGCACAAGTATATTTATCAATTCCTATATATACCACACAAAATTGCCTACTTTTTAATCTTCAATAAATCATTAATTGTGTAAATTTAATTATATAACTTAAGTCCATAGCTAAACGTATATTAGCTTTTGATAAGAATTTTTTTAATCAAATTAAACATTTATTATAATTTTGACTTTTCGCGAAAAGTGAATAATAATATCTGATACGAGAATCTTAAATATATTATTGATTTTTCATTTAGTAATTACGAGAGTATAATCTATTCTTTATTTTATTCATAAAAAGGTTAAAAACTTAATTTAGTCATTTAAATTATTATAAGGGACTAAATTAAGTTTTTAGCTTAAAAAAATATAATTTATGAATTTAAATTGAATTTAATAATAAATAATTTGGGCTCAATTTTTATTAGCAAACTCTGCATAAAACTTAACTTAATGATTAATAGAGTGTTGCAAAGGAATGTCAAAATGTCAGATATTAGACTTTTCTTTTGGAGTAATTTTTACGTTTACATGAAAACTAAATAAATAAATTTAGTTTAATTCATTTAATCAAGTTTTCGAAAAGATCATTGTCTGTTCTTCATGATGAGTCATGACGATTGACACGCTCCACATTCCAGTAGCCAGAAGCGAAAAGAAACATTCAATAACAATCACGATAAATAAGCTTTACTTTTTAATACTCCAAACCTTCTATTTATATGCATAAACACGTATTGGATGTGTCGAAGGAACAATACAAACAATAGAAAAGTGGAAAAAGTATGGCTGCTTTCACAGAGAACCAAGAAGCTCTGGTGAATAGCTCATGGGAAGCATTCAAGGCAAAACTTCCGCACCACAGCGTTGTGTTCTTTACCGCGTAAGTTTCCTCTCTAAATATGCCCGCAAATTAGATCCCCTTTTCTCCATGTTTTCCACAACTTTTTTTTTTTTTTTTTTTTTAAAGTTGAATTGTGTTGAAAAAATAATTCAAATTTTAAATAAATTGAGTGAGTAAAAATTTAAGGAGTTATTTTAGAAATTTGTAATCTTAGATTTATATATTTTTATTTGTTTTAATATCTTTTAGAGATTTGTTTCCTACTTTTTAATCTAGAGGATTATATGATTCAAATTTTGTATTACATTTTTGTTCTATATATGGAGAGTCAAAAAATAAAATATGTGTGTGTTTCGTTTAAGATCCTTAGATGTGTGGATAATTTTATTGTGTGAGGAGGAGTTTTTTCCACCAATGACATTAGAGCTATGACAGGGAATACACAAAAGTTTGAGATACCACTATTTGATGGTAAGACAAATTTTTATGATTTGACAGTATACCATTCAAGATATTTTAGTGCAACAAGGTCTTGATCAAGCGTTGAAAGATGAAAAGCCAAATACTATCAATGAAAGATAATGGAGTTAGATCCAAAAGAAGGTCGTAAACACGATTCGGTTAGCTCTTACTCCTAAGATCAAGTACAACGTATTAAAGGAGACAACACCAAAAACCTTGTGAGAGAAGCTTGAGAGCATTTATGTGTCTAAGTCGATAACCAATTGCTTATGTTTGAAGATAGAGTTATATCAACTCAAAATGAAGATGGGAGAAAATCTTCATAATCACACTAATCATTTCATCCAGCTAGTGTATTGCTAAATGTAAATGAAAAAATTTCTGATGAAAAGCAGGCAATATTATTGTTGACTTCACTACCAAAGTCTTATAAATATTTAGTTCAGTCATTGCTTGTTGGAAAAATATCATTGGAATTAGGTGAAGTGACATCCACTCAAAGAGAAAATGAGAGAATGATGAAAAATGAGAATATTGATATTGAAGGTCATGCACTAGTCATGCAACACTCTAAGTAAGGGAGAAGTAATTCATGGAGATAAGATGGGCATAGAGGAAGATCAAATTTTCAATTATGTCTAGAGTGAGATATGAGTAACGTGTAATGTTACTATTCTGAGAAGAAAGATCACATGCAATCAATATGTAAAGAAACGATAAAAGACCTTCAAAAATTGATAATTATGAGGAGAGATGATGACAACTCCTAAGTTAATATAATCCAAAACCTTCATGATGATGTAGATGTCTATTAGGCAATTACTGAAGAAGTTGCTAGATCAAAATGGATAATGGATTCTGCTACCTCAAAACACATTTTTAGAGACCAAATGGTGTTTCACACTCTAAAAACTAATGGCGAGTTTGGTTAATTAAAGTTAAGAAATGGTGGGAAAATGGAGGTTAAAGGCACTGGGACTATGAGAATGAAACTTCACAATGGTGTCATCCAAACTTTTAAAAATGTGCGATATGTACCTTCTATTGCATCCAACAAAATTTTATCGGGAGAGTTGACATCACAATACTATAGGTATGTTGATTCAAAATGGGGATGCAAAATGTATAAGGGGATGTGCTTGATATTGCAAGAACAAAAGAATGAGAAAAATTTATGTTATTTGGAAAGACATATTTTAAGAAGATAAATATTTTGATCAATTTATTTGAAAATTTTAATTAAGGGAGGATTTATTTTAAAAAATAATTCAAATTTCAAATAAATTGAGTAAATAAAAATTTAAGGAATTATTTTAAAAATTTGTAATCTATAAGATATTATTTAAATTTACAAATTTTTATTTGTTTTAATATCGTTTAGACATTTGTTTCCTTTTTTTTAATTAGGAGGGTCAAATGATTCAAATTTTGTATTATATTTTTGTTCTATACATAGAAAGTTGAGAAATAAAATTTGTGTATATTTTGTTCAAGATCTTTGGATGTGTGAAAAATCTTATTAAGTGAGAAAAAAAAAATTCTATCAACTTGAGATTTAATTATTTTATTTTTTTATAATATATATCCTCTAATCTTAGATAATAGGGTTTAATTCGTCTGCGTAGATAATATAGTAGGTGGTCGTCTAATAATAATTAAATTTATGATAAACTCTTGAACAATTTTGTATTTTTATGTGTAACACATTAATTCCAACAAAATTAAAAAGATGAAGGGTACGTGCTTAAAGCTTTAAAATATGAGACTTTGATTTTCCCTAATAGATAGTTGCCATGTGAGTGTCTCAGCTTTTGGTTTGATTTTTTTATATTAAATAAATAGTGTATTGGAGAAAGCACCAGAAGCAAAGGACAAGTTTTCGTTTCTAGCTAATGGAGTAGACGCCAATAATACTAAGCTCACTGCCCATGCTGAAAAGCTTTTCGGAATGGTAAGTCTCATCCAACTAAAATTATACCTATTTTGTGTGATTTTAGTACTAAACATGTATTTAACACTAACAAACTATCGATGAACATTTGTTAAATGTATTTTATATTTTGATGGTATCTCGTACTAGGAATGGTATATCAAATATCCTATTTATTAGTATTTGTTGCATGGTTATTTTTCTTTCATGAATATCATGTATGATTTTCTTCGGATTATAGGTGCGTGACGCAGCTATTCAACTTCGAACAAAAGGAGCAGTGGTGGCTGAAGCCTCACTTGGTTCTGTCCACACTCAAAAAGGAGTCAGTGATGCTCATTTTGCGGTATGATAAATATGTATACTTAAATTTTACATGGTGTAATGATCACCACTTCTTTTGTTTAGTAATGAGTTTACTAACTATAATCTTAAAGTGGTTTAACAATTAACAAAAAATAGTAAATATATTTTTGTTGTATTTTTATATGATTTTTTTAGAAATATTTTTTTTTCTTTGAGCAGTGTTTAAAAAATTTGATTTAATAAAAGCAATAGGTTCCTCCACTTATATATTCTTCATTTAAATTATGACATAAGCAATCAAAATAGAATAAGATAAATCATGACATGTTTATTTTTTTGGATGAGGTTAATTATTAAAAAAAAAAAAAGCTATTATCTCTTGCAACGTTCATTTTCCATATATTCTCTCCATTGATTTTTTTTTTAATTTTTATGTTAGGCTTATGTTCAATATATTTTCATCTACGTACTCATATTTAGTAAAGTCAACTGAAAATTTTATAAACACACATAAGTTGTCGAGATGATGACAATACCAACATCATTACTCATTTTTGAAAGTTCTATCTGAAATTTTAATTGTAAGAAAAAATTTAATTAAGAACTAATTAACCACCACTAATGATTTTTAGGTGCTTAAAGAAGCATTTCTGAAAACAATAAAGGAAGCAGTTGGAGACAAATGGAGTGACGATTTGAGCAAAGCTTGGGAAGTAGCCTATGATCAAATGGCAGCAGCAATTAAGAAGGCAATGAAATGACTTTGGGATCCATTGCCATAAAATGTAATAAATAATTTTGTTTCACTCGAACTTGCTCCTGATATAATTTTCGGTTACAATTGATGAACAATCTTTACACAAGTACTACTATATTTGGATAAACGATCTTAAGTTATTTGCATAGATACTTTATACAAATAAGTTCAAAATAATTTATATATTTAAAATTATTTTAATAAACTTAAATAAGTGGTATAGGATTTTTTTTTAAAAGTAACACACAAATGCTTTACAAATATTTATTGTGGTAAATATATTAAAAAATTGTTCACAGTATATTTATCAATTAGATTAATATATTAGATGTTTATGATTTTAAAGAAGAGGAGGATTAGTACACGTGTTGATGTGATTAATTAATCAACTAATTAAATTTTATTGATTAGTTAATCTGTTAATTAAATCTTATCTCTTCTATTGTAATATCAATGTATATTCTAATACTTTTTGATATGTTTGTTTAAAACAACCTTTCTCACTATTATATAAGATATGTATACAAACATTAATAATCAATTCATAAAATTATATTGTTCTACATATATGTACAACATGAAGAATTGCCTCTAATTATTAATGGCATTCTTGTAATATTTTACAAAAATATTAGGGCTCAAAGAGAAACAAAGTGCATGGTCTTTGCATGGCTGGGAACTTGTTTGCGTCTTCCCCTCTATAACTTCTCCAAAAACTTTTTTCCTTTTAGAATCCTCAATCTCAGAGTCAATACTCATGTTTAGTGTGAAAACCTTGGTGAAACTTATATATAAAGAAAAAATGTTTAATTTTTTTTAGATTGAAATATATATAAATAAATTTTAATCAAATATTCAATCTTATTCAATGTTTTTAATCTACAAATATTGTTATAGTAATAAATGAGAGTTCTATATATCATAAATGTGGTCAATAATATTTTAGATAATATGTATTTTATGTGAAATTGTAAAACAAAATGTATTTAATGAACTTTATTAATTTATTTAAAATAATCTATTTTTGCTTATATATAAATCAAGAGAGAATTCCAAAGCATATACATGAAAGTGTTTGACTTTGACAACAAAAATATAAGAACAAAATGAGTAATCATATATCACTACAAGAAAATTGCCGTATAGTGACACACACCCTATAGTGACATAATACGTGTCACTAAAAACTACTTTTACCTGCACAATAAATATAATATATGTTGGTATATTGTTAAAGAGTGTAGGTATAGGCTATAGTGACACACAAAATATGTTGTTAAATTTCATTCAAAATCAACACTAAAATTTTATGTAGTTATATGTCAAATAGGTATATACCTACATATATTATACTTATAGTGACACTTTTTGTATGTCACTATATGGAACATTTTTTGTAGTGTATGGTAACTTTAATAGATATAACTTTATTTGATATAAGAGAGACATGCTAATACACTTCTATATAGTTACAGAATTGAGCTAAGAAGACTGACTCGGAAAATACTTGCAATATTGATCTTAATTTTGCAGCCAAAGGTATAGCTTTTTTACATGTATTTGGATTGGATTGTTACAAGAAGGGATTCCGATAGAATAAGAGAAAAATGATTTTACAAAGCTCAAGCCAACCATTGGAAGCATGAAAAGCCAAACTCAGTCTTAATCGTCTTTCATGCACCACACGAAATTGTCTTTATAAATCTTCAAGAAATAATGTTCTATGATTTTACATTATTTACGGAGATTACTTTAATTATAAGTTAGCGCAATATTTTTTTATTTTTTTATTTGCTAACAAGTGATACAAATATTTATTAAGAAAATAAAAATAAAAAATTAAAGGAAAAACTTTTTGTCACTCTTCGTTTATGATTTTGCAAATTTTGTCATTTAAATTTTAAATTTATATATTTTATTATTGGACTTTTAAAATCTTAGTAGTTGATTAATGGTATGAAGCAAGTGACAAAATGTATAAATTTAAAAGTTGAATTATGACACTTGTAAAATCATAAAAAAATAAAATTACCTTTTTTATTATTGGTTGAATTTTCATAGTGACACTATTAAATAATTTGGGATCAATTTTTATTAGTAGATTCTACATAAATTTTAACTTAATAATAGAGAGAGTCTTTGGCAAAGGGAATTCTAAAATGTGTGATACTATATATATATATATATATATATATATATATATTATAGGTGTGTATATATATTCTAAACATTATAAAATTCAAAATAAAAGTTAAATTATTATTTTTTTACTTTGATTAATCGAAGAATTATTTGATTAAGTTTTTAAAAAGATCATTGTCTCATCATCATGCCGATTGACATCCTCCACAAGCCAAGAGAGACAAAAGCTTAAGTTTTTCTCACTCTCCAACCTAGCCTTCTATATAAACAAGCATTGAACATGAATTATTGCATCGAACAATAGAAGTAATTAAGAGAAAAGTAGAAAAGAAAAATGGGTGGTTTCACGGAGAAACAAGAGGCTTTGGTGAATAGCTCATACGAAGCATTTAAGGCAAACATTCCTAAGCACAGCGTTGTGTTCTACACCTCGTAAGTTTTTTCTCTACATATGTATCTCTCACTCTATATGTTTTACTTTAATTTTGTTGTTCATTGTGTTTTGCGAAGAGATAGTGAACATATGATATGAGTGTCTCTGATTTTGGTTTGATTAAAATTTATATTAAAAATAAATAGGATATTGGAAAAAGCACCAGTTGCAAAGACCTTGTTCTCGTTTCTAGCCAATGGAGTGGACCCCAATACCCCTAATCTCACGGGCCATGCTGAAAAACTTTTTGCATTGGTAAGTCTGTCAACTAACAAAAAATGTAGATATTCTATGTGATTTTGTGATTAAACATGCATGCATTTAAAACTCTTAAAATGTCTCTGTCCAAAAAAAAACTCTTAGTGTATTTTATGAGTTTTTTTTTTTACCATATATTGTATTAGGAATAGTATATCAAATTGTATTAGTATTTCTTGATTACTTTCTTTCCCTTATATATCTTATTACGATATAAATATTTTTTGAATTTTGTACGTATAGACGCGTGACTCAGCTATTCAACTTCGAGCAAAGGGAGTAGTAGTGGCTGATGCAGCACTTGGTTCTATTCATGCCCAGAAAGGAGTCACTGATGCACAGTTCGTGGTATGATATATATAGTGAAATGCTACAATAAATATGCATACTTCAATTTTACATGGATTAATGTTCATCACTTCTTTCGTATATTAATGGTTTTACTAACTATAATCTTAAGATGATTAAAGAATTAAAAAAAATTAATTAGTAAAAAATAACATAAAATTATCAATATATTTCTGTAGTAAGCTTTCTCTTTCTCATTTTTCATTTAAATTATGGCATGTTTATTTTTGGATGAGGTTATATATTAAAACTTTTATTATCTATTGCAATGTTCATTGATTATTAATTATCATTGTTCGATCCATTGGTATATTTCTCTGATAAACCTGTTCCATTAGTATATTAAAGTCAACTTAAAATTTTATAAAAAATAACTTGTTGAGATAACGAGAATACCAATTACCAATAGCAATACTCATTTTTAAATTATGTACTGAAATTTTAATTATAAGGAAAAACTATTATGTGCAAGAGCTAAAGCATGGCTAATGATTTGTAGGTGGTTAAAGAAGCATTGCTGAAAACAATAAAGGAGGCAGTTGGAGATAAATGGAGTGACGAATTAAGCAATGCTTGGGAAGTAGCCTATGATGAATTGGCAGCAGCAATTAAGAAGGCATTTGCTTAGGATCTATTCTAAACTGTAATAAATAAAATTTGTTTCACCAAAACTTGTTACTATTAAACAAGTTCGTGATCTAAATTAATGTTGGATTAAATAAGTAAATTATATTGTATTCGGATAAACAATCTCAAGTTATATATCTGCATGAATTTATATTTGCGAATCATAATCCATACTTTATACAAATAAAATATAATATATATATA